AAGTTTTGGAATCTGAAACATATACAAAGATGTAATGGAAATTTAATATATAAATGTGGACGTCCATAACCCCCTTTCAAATATATACATATATTGGTAGTTTAAAAAAATGAAAGTTAATATGCTAAATGGGGTAGTTTATGAACCTAGTGGATGGTAAAAAAAAAAAATGAAAGGGATTATTTGGTACAATATGACAAGTGTATAAATTTTTTTAAAAAAAATTAAGGACTTAATAATGGTAACAATTAATATAAAGTGTGTCGTCAAAATAATGTAACTGAATAAAAAAAATTTGTCGTTTAAAAGAGATTTCAACAACATACAAAACTTATAAGATAAGCGCACACAACTTTACTATCGTGACCAAAACTTTTAATTTAACTCTTAGGAATGGTCATAGAGACGTCATAATATAATTTAAATTATTTTCGAGTTATACAAGAAAATTTGATTTGAAAACGACATAACATTCTTTTTTTTAGTCACTACATTTGTTCTACTCGAAAATGAACAAAAAGTGTGCAAATTAGTAAGGTCATTATACGATTTGAAGCAAGCTCCTAAGAAATGGCATGAAAAGTTTGATTTAGCCATCATTTCATTTGGTGTTAAACATAATAGTGTAGATAAATGATTGTATTCTAAAGTATGTGATGATTATGTGATATTTATTTGCTTATATGTTAATGACATGTTGATTTTTAGTAACAACATGGACGGAATAAAAGAAACGAAGAGGTTTCTATTTTCCAGATTCAAGATGAAGGATTTTGGACAAGAGGATACCAATATGGATATCAAAAACTCTAAAACTAGTGGGGGTTATCATCTTAGTCAATCACATAATAATGAGAATGATTAACAAGTNTCAATCACATTATATCGAGAATGTGATAAATAAGTTCAAACACTTGAACATAAAAGAATATAGTATCCATCTTGATCCAAGTTCAAAACTAATAAAGAATTATGAAATGGCAGTTGCTCAATTGGAGTACACAAGTGTTATAAGAAGTCTAATGTATGCAGTTCAATGCACAAGATTGGACATAACATTTGCAATTAGTAAACTTAGTAGGTTTACTAGTAATCCGAGCAATGACCATTGGAAGCCATAGGAAGAGTTCTTGAATATTTAAAGAAAACAAAGAATTTAGGTCTACAATATACTAATAGTTTACTAGTATTCCGAGCAATGATCATTGGAAGATCATTGGAAGAGTTCTTGGATATTAAAAGAAATTCAAGAATTTAGGTCTACAATATACTAAATTCCCGGCTGTATTGGAATGATTTATATATGCTAGTTGGATATCTAGCACGGGTGAAAATAAATCTACTCCAAGTTGGGTGTTTACGCTTGGATGAGGAGTTGTTTCTTGGAAATCAAAGAAACAAACATGTATAACATACTCGACTATGAAATTTGAATTTGTAGCACTATCAGAAACCTGGAAAGAAGCTGAGTAGCTTAAGGATCTATTCTATGAGATACCTTTAGAACTAAATATTACATCATCAATATCTATCATATATGATAGTTAAGCCACGTTAGCAAAAGTTTACAATGATGCATACAATGGAAAGTCTAGACATACGAGTCTTAAACATGACTACATAAGAAAATTAATCAATGATGGAATAATTTCCCTAAATTATGTTTAGTTAATTGAAAATTTAACAGATCATTTAACTAAACCTCTAAATAGAGATTTCGTGTCATCTACTTCGAGTAGAATGAAGTTAAAACTCTTGAACTAAAGGTCCATCAATGATAGCAACCTTACATGTCGTTACTCATCAAGTAATCCACGGGTTCAAAGGATAACAAAAAGTCATTCGATTTATGGATAGTTTCAGCATTATATAATCCGCAATAACTCTATTCTAATTAAATAACGCTGGTTGTTACTGAAATGATGGATGAGTTTTAAAGCTCTTAATGAAATTCAGTACTAAATACAAGTATCTCTAAAAGTAACAAAGATACTGAAAGAATTTCACCTAGATAAACTTCGAGGTGATGTCGCATCAATAAATAGTTGAGTGCAATGCCATATTAGCACTAAGCGAGCTTGAGAAACTTGAGAACACATAATACTTTTGTGTATGTGTGTGTGTTCTTACCGGTATTGTCATATGGAATAATTGGTTCAAAGCTTCCATGATATCTTTAATTTTGACTTTACTTTGTTTGAATTACACTATAGTTAGATTCAAATCAAAAAATATTTAATCCTTATACATAAGTATTTTATATTTTGAATAAGATATTTTATTAAATTTTGAACAAGCGGGGGATTGTTGGAAATATTTTTCAAAAAATATAAAATGGAATATGAATAAAAATGGAACCTGAGGACTTTATTTTGGCCTATGCGACCGCAAAGGTCAAGAAGGCTTGCGGTCGCATAGGCAGTTGCGAGGATTAAATGCCCTGCAGTTGATTGTTCTATGTGACCGCATAGGTTTGTTCTTAGCCGTTAGATTGCCGTTTTATGATCGTTGTCTTTTTTAATTTGGTTGCTTTTCATATGAATTTGGCACCATTTCGTGGAAGACATTTGAGAGCTATATATAGGTGATTATGTTCTAGGCAAAATAAGATATATATCAATTTTTGATAACATTTTTATTCCACACATCGTTGAAATCAAATTCCTTCGTACATATTCAAAATCTTCATTTGTGTTCTTCAAATTTTGGAGGATTTTTACCAATGTTTAAGTGTTAAATCCTTTACAATGCTTAATTAATCCGGTAAACCATTTGTCATAATCCCTTTAAGCATTATTTTCAAGAATAATGCTAGAGGTACATAATGATGCACATAATGGTGCACATAATGGTGATGTGTCAATCATCCAGTTGTCGATATGTAAGTGTGAAATTTGAATTAAAGGTTGGATTATATGCCACGTGTAATTATGTCAACCCTTATGTATATACTTATGCACCTGTAGCATTACTCTATTTTCAATTCAAGAGGGGGCAAATATAATTTGACGACAATGGTATGATGTTCGGGCCTTGTTTTTCTTCTTCTTATTGTTCTTATTTTCTTTTTCTCCAATTTTCTGGTTTTTGTTCTCTACTTTTATCTCCATACCTCTTTGCACACATTTATTATAATCCACAAATTGTCGAGAAAACATTCTTCTTATGCGAATATTTACATGATGTCATCATGTCTTTCTAGAGAGTTGCTTTTATTGACAATAGTTATAACAGTCTAACACACTCCTTAACTGTCGAGAAAAATAGTAAACTTAGCCTATGTTTGAATTCATTATCTAAAAACTCGTTTTTCTTCAAACTCGTTTTCATTTACATTTTTTCAATAAAATAATTTGCACGTAAATTCAAAATCTTTTCCTACATTTTAACTGCACATTCTCTAAAAAATAAAAATTACAAACTTTTTTTTTTGTGAAAAATGGGGCTCAAATTGACCATTTTACTAATATTCCCAAAAGGTGGCCATAATTTCTCACAAAAAAGCCTGGAAAAAAAAAATCGCACAAAATTTTCACATTGGAAATATGAATCTTTTGAATACGTAAATATACATACCTAGAAATTTGTCTTCAAAAAATCTTTATCTTGAAAACATTAAAGCGTACTTTTGGTTAGTTGTTTTCAAGCTATTTTTAATTTTAAATTTTGCAAAACATCCAAACTTGTTTTGTCTTATATTTTCGAAAATGAATTTTTGAAAACAAAGTTAAATTTATATCATAAAACTCAAAACTTCTTTTTGACGATTTGAGTGTTTTTTTTGTTTGGTTTGATACTTTCGAAAATGATTAAATTTTTAATTTAAAAGTCAAAACGCATTTTTCACGTTTTAAATATTTTAAGTGAAAAATTGAAAACGCTCAAAACATGAGAAATAAGTTTAAAATATATTTTGAGCACTAAAAACATAGAAAATAAGCCTTTAAAGTAATTTTTTTTAAAATATAATAAATAAAAATATAGAATTCTAAAAAAATATTTAAAATTAAAAATAAAAATAAAGTTGTCATAAAAAATTCTAAATACTGAGATCCTAAAAAAAAATTGAAAAAAAATAATTAGAAACGTAAAAATTATAAAAAATAAAAATAGTTCAAACTCTTAATGATTATTTGCATAAAAATTTTAGCAATTAAATGAATATATATTAAAAATTCTCAGTTCACATCATTATTTTTTATTTTTTATTTCCTATGATTTATCAACTCAATTTATTATTCGTTCGTCTTACATTTGTAGCGAAAAAATATAAATTGAAAAATTTATCAATTTTAAAATATACATATATTACTTAATAATATATTAATATAAATTTTTTTCTATTTTACTAAATAATCAGATTTCATAGAATAAAATTTCATAAAATAATATCTCAAAATTTCATAGCAAACATTTTTTCTTGTCCATAATTTGAATCTTCCAAAATATACACACATCCAGATTTCTCAAAATTTCTATGAGGGTTGTCAAATTTCTAGAAGCATACAAAAAGAAGCCGCATATTTAGATTTTAAGTTTATTTATCTTTTATCAGGATAAAATCAGTCCTTCAAAAAATAAACGAGGAGAATTGAAAATAGTACCAATCCAAATGCTCTCGTATCCTTCATATTTATGTGATTGTGTGCGACAAATTTTAGTACACTGAACTGAAAAGAAATACATCACATGCTTCTCTCCTTAATCATATCCAGGCAAACATCCCAAACATATGGAAAGAAAATAACATTGAAATCTATCATGAAATGCTAAGTTAACAGTCTATCATTGATAATTTAAGGAACTCAACATCTATGATAAATGATGATCAAAGTGAAAGGTCCTTCACATTCACCACCATATTATGTATTTAACTCGCACCAATATCATTACTGAAATACAGTTTATTCTTGGGTAGGGTGGAAAGGGAAATCAAAGTAACAGTCATTGAAAATTTCAGATTGGAGGACCTAACGAAAAATGCCATAGTAAAGAGTTCCTCAGTCACGAAATTCATCCATGAATCCATTGTGGAATTCAGTCAGACGAGTCACAATTGCCGGTATTTTGTCCTCTTGAGGTAATATTGTGCACCTAAAATGCCATGTTCCGGGCACCTACCACATAATCAACACAACACAAACAACAATTACTAGGGACAACTTGTAATGAGAAGCATAGGTAAGTTCTTTTTTTGAAAGGTAGAAGCATAGGTAAGTTCTTGACAAGTTAAGTATTAAAAATTTCCGAGGTACTACTTTAAATAGTTCACGTGTAAGTTGGGTAGTAATACCATACATATTTAGGGTATTAGTAGCAAGGATTGATATATGTTATCATTAATTGGTAATCCTCTAGTGAACAAATCATTTATGTACCATGGTTTTATCTTGAGACAAATATCCACTCACTTTATAAAATGTTTGGAACTTAACATCATGCGTGACATCATAGCACAAGTTATAGATTTTTATCCTACTTTTGGATAGTATACGACCTAGTGTGGAAACAATTTGCATCCATGGTTATTAAAGTAAAACTACTATAGGAAATGCTTGGTGTCATATAAATGAAATGAATTGAAGACGTGGCAATCTCACTTTATAACATGCAAAAACAAGACAAATTTCCTTGGTTTAACCTAGTCCTACGTGCACAAATTCCAAGGTATAAATCTGTCTTTGAACTACATCTATAATATTGTTGTCAAGATTTTGTCGTGTGATTTTCAACGAACTTTGAATGACTCAAAACAAACCATCACAGGATAAAATAAGTTGGACAAATATTCTAATTAAAATTGCCAAACTAGGACTCTTGCTTTAGTTAAAAATGGTCATGAGACTATTTATTATCAAGTCCTTGATCACCACTAAATAATAATAACATTAATCAATCCTAGTGTAAAACAAACGGATACTAATACCCTAAATATATGGTATTACTACCCAACTATACGTGAACTATATAAAATATATCTTGGAGATTTCAGGGAACGGAATTAAAACATACAGTATAATCTTACAACAATGTCAACTATAGAATAAAGTGTTAGTCATGCTAAGAGCCGTGGGAAGGATTTTGGGTTGGGTAAAAGGGAGGCTACACCGTGTGATTTAGTCCAGCGAACCAGAAGAAAAAAATGTCATCTAGCACAACCCCGTTTAATATTTTAGTATTATGAACGACGATATTTCTCCTATGGTCTCCAAGGTCCTCAACGCCCTTATTGTTCAAGCTTCAGGCTCATCTTTGATGTTATTTGACCCAAATCATCTTTCAAATCTTTTATGGAGAGTTATTTTTAAAATATATATATATATATGACCAGTAACAAGAAATTAAGCAAGGAATTATATTAGAGAGACACATTTCATCAGTAAAATTTACCTGTCCAAACCCAGAACCAGGTACAACAACTATTCCAGTGGCATCAAGAAGACGACGAGCATAAAATGCATCTGGGGCCTTGTTTGCAGATTTTGCTGCTTCAATCGCTTTCTTCGGCAGTTCAATACGGGGAAACAGATACATTGCTCCTTCAGCTCTGTTGCATGTCACTCCTTCTAAACTATTCAATGCAGCTTCAAGTGTCTGAAGATCAAAGAATGGAAAAAGAACTAAGAATTGAAAGGAAAAAGGACAAAAAGATGGTCCCTGAAAACAAAAGTTGTATCAAATCTAATAAATTGGTAAATGTGATTGATGTCCAACTGTTAAATTTTGCTTATTGCATACATCTTCAGTCTTCACAAAACGTACCGTGTTAATCTATCAAAGTTCAGAAGACATTTATTTGTAGTTTACATGTATTTAACATACTACCATGTTATCAGTTTATTCAACAGAATGAAAAGGAAGTTTGATAAGACTAACCTTTGCTCGCCTTGCTAGGGATGACAGGATTGCATCTTTCTCAGCAAAATAAGACTCGTAGGACTCATCTCCCACCTATACACATTAAATAAGAATATTTATTGCATTATTGAAAGACGTGCAGATGCAATGGATTGAAGAGTCGATGATTAAACATCTTATTGATGCATAGAAGAACTTGGCAGTAAATTCTGGACATAAGAAAGGACAGTCCTAGACACTGGTAAAGAAGGAGATGGACAGTTTTCAAATTAAGCCCTTGTTTGAGCCCCTTTTTTGGGCCAAAATGCATTTTGAAACAGTATTTTGTTGGAGAATGTGTGGTTAAAAAATAAGGAAAAATTTTAAAGTAGAACATCTAGTATTTTCTCTCTTTTAAAAAAAAAAACTTGGGTTTTCATATTAATAATTACTTGACAGAAACTTTTCATATTGGAGGATTACCCAAATGAGTTGGGCCGACCGAGTAATAAACAAGAAATAATAGTTAACGTAATTCCAAGTTTTTAGGTGACGACGTTATCTAAAACCATCAAGGAAATGAGCACCTGGTTCTCAGTTTCCTGAGATACACATTATGTGGACATGGCTGCCAAAAATTTTCAACTTACAACCACATCCGACTTATCAATCATCCAACTTTACTTCCCAACCTAGTTTGCAAATTTACTTCACATCCGACTCATCAATCATCTCTGCATTCATTCATCATCTAACTGGCACAAGGCCAATGCTAAATCATTTTCCAAGAACTCCTGGATTTTTTTCCAATTGTTTGTATGGTGGAGAAATACTATTAGACTAAGAAAATAATAACCAACCTTAGGGGGGCTCATGACAAGGCTTGAAAGAATCTGACCGGATATGTTAGAGCAAAGGTTTACAGATGCTACTTTGTATATTTGCTCCCTTACGTTGGGACTAAAACCAGTGACTTCCATGTAACCTCCTCTCTTTCCGCACTCTCCATGATACCCTGGACCAATGAAGAACAGAAGCTCGTTAAGTTTGAACTGGTCCCTTAATGGGTGGGTATTACCACGTTTTGCTAGCTTGAAGACTTTAACAAGTAATTTCTAATATATAGAGGTTTTTAATTGATTTAAACTACAAGCGAGCAAGTTATTTGGACAAGGTAAGAGTTACTTTCAAATTAAGTAACTTTTTAGCTTCAAAGTAAGAAAAGCAATTTATCCAAATATGTTTAAAAACAAAAAATCAATATAATAACTTTTTACCAGACTTATCGTTATACTCTTTGTGATGATTTGAACACCATACCTTTAGATACAGACTGGAAAGATACTAGGGAGATGTCCTTCTCACCATACCCCATAGTCCTGGAGACTTTCTTAAACGAATGGAACTGCTTGTCAGGTACATAAATATTTTCCTGGTACACCTGTGCAAGCCAACCAACACCATCAATGATCATCATTTACGTAAGTTTAGTAACATAAAGGCAATGCAGAGGCAGTGTCTAAAGGAATATATTCACCTCATCTGCCAAAAGAACAAGCTTCTCTTTCTTGCAGAATTCCACAATTTCTTTTTGGTTGTTCTCAGACAGAACCTGTTGAAATATGTAGCCAAACATTCAAATCAACAAACTAGGTCCCAGCTGCACCCAGATGATCAGATTCCAACGGTGCCATTAGTCATGAAGGAAATGGAAAGTTATCTTCCTCAATCAGCCTTGTGATAATTGCTTACCTGCCCTGTGGGATTGCCAGGATTTATTACAACCAAGGCCCTAACACTTGTACCGTTAGATTTGGCAGCTTCCAACTGATTCTTAAGATCAGATATCTCAAGTCCCCATCCGGTTGATTCATCAAGATAATAAGGAACCTGCAAATCCGAATGAGAGTCCAATATCAGCAACTTCCTACTAAGAAAAATAGACAAAACATAACTGAAAGCAGTAAATATGATTAGCTCAATTTCTTCAGCACTGACAAGGCTTCAGTTCTATTTATGGTCAGAAAAGTTCAAAGCATATTGGCAGGATAAAAATGAACCTAAACACAATATTAGAATGATAAACTTCTCAATATAGCTCTACAGTATGAGATGCATACAAGAGTGCCTCCATGGAGGGTGATTGAAGCAGAATAAAGCGGATACTGAGGAATGGGGCAGAGAATGCCATCCTTCTCCGACCTTATCAATAACTGCATCATCATGTGAACCTGAAAACAGGATGGGTGGATTATTCAGCAATTACAATTATTTTCCCAATAGTTTCCTACTGAATTCCTTTGTGTACATGACTAGAAAGAAAATAACATATTCACCGCAGGGCTTGCACCATCAGTCAAGAAAATATCATTTGGATCAGCTGGATATCCATCGCGAGCTTCAATACCAGAAGCAATTGTATCACGTAATCCTTTGATACCCTGATTTCATCAAATAAAAAGAAATCTAAATGATACATCTGCGATAGACGCGTCCCATGTTATTACTGTTACCAAGATTTCGAGTGACAGAAGTATTACCTGACTATGACTATATGCACCAGTTGCTCTTCCAGGAATTTGATCGAGGATCTGAAATGCCCTTTCTATGGAATCGGCACTACAAAATTCATCAGAAAAAGACAGAGAATATGGATGTCACTAACCAAATATTTAAACATTTTTGCAATACTTAGCAAAGAACTTTTTAAGAAAGCAAATCGTTTACTGTCCAATTGAGAAAGCAAATGAGGGCAAGAAAATCAACGATAGCCAAAAAATTACATTTAACATAAGCAGTCAAAAAGGGAATTTCATGGGAATCCTACATTTAATTAATGTGACTCTCTTTCCAGTCAAGATAGTTGATGGTCAAATTATTGGAAACGTTATTTATAGAAGGCAACATTACAAGTAGAGATTTGAAAAGGCACTAGAAAAAAAACAAACACACACACACACACACACAAACTTGTGGATAAAAGCCTTCCTTCAACCCTGGTTCTTTTTTCTAGCTCATCCAAATGTATCAGCTTCTCTGTTTTTGGTTCAAGAACAATATTTGCATGGTATCCAATACTCATAACCTCCCATATATACTATTTTTAATTGGAATTTGGGATTTGTGACTCCTGATTACCTATCATTACAATTACATGCTGAAACTTCAAAATAAAAATAAATTTGAAGACGAGGCATTCAAGATTGAGAACTCTTAATTCTTCTGAAAAGATCGTAAGAAACTTTTGTATATTCTTGGAACTTCAAGAAGCATTGGAAAGGGTCATAAGACACTATGAATATGCTAAGACAGCATAGCAAACAGGTAGTATAAAAACTCTATAAATTATTCTACATATCCTTCTTCAATTAAGTACTCGTTTGGTAAAGATTAAAATCCAATTAAAATTGAAAATATAGCCGTTATTGGGTCCCACTCGTCAAATAAAAGTCAACAATAACAGCTAGTTTTTCAATTTTAATACAATTTTAGTCTCTACAGAACACGTCCTAACAAAATTGAGAGAACTAAACAAAGAATTAAACATGGTTGCAATGATAGTTTTGAAAATAAGAGATACGAGTAGGTTATTGGTTCTTGAATTCTTTTATTGAGCAACCAAAGAAAAGGCAGAATAATTGAAAGCGTTCAACAAAAGAGTGAAGTGGCCAGATTACATAGAGGTAATTGGGAAAAGGAAGGGGACAGGTAGTCAGTACAAAATTCCTGGATTTTCCCTCTCATAAGTTACTTTCCCTGGTCTCTCTGATACCTTTTTCCACTTTGCCTTCCTTTGAAACTAAAAACAACTTATTATAGTTTAATTTAAAAAATTGAATTTGGATCCTAAAAGTTCCAGTAGTGCCACTCTAGCATGCCTCTAAGATGCCTCCAGCGGATTCCAAAAGTATCCTCAGCAGACCCCTGATGTGTCCTCCATATGTATGAAATTAGAAAGTAATAAACATACTTTTGTAAACATGTCTAACATGTGTCCCAGATTTGGAAGTATGCTTGCGTCCAACAAAGACACTGGATGATAATGTGGCCCGCGTAGAAAGTATATGCTCTCTTTTGAACCAATTGAATAGTATTTGTGGTAGCTCAACAGTTATGAGCTAGGTGATTTTATCAACTATTAGCAGGAGGCAGTTCATTTTATTTACACACGCTTAACATAGAACTTCCATTGCTGTTACAATGCAAATCGTCAATTTCATAATGTGAATTTTAGGTCATAGTTTATTTTTCCTTGTACCTAAACAAACCCTGTGTTTCAGCTCTGTCCAATATGGTAGGATGATCGCATAATGCAAGGACCTAAAATAAGAACAAAATTTAGATTCGCAGAGAGAATAAGAACAGCAGTAAAATAGTATTGGTATTTTCTGGAGAACAAATAAAGATCATCAAACATACCTCTCTAAAAAAAGTGATTGGCTGCTGACCCAGGGATTGAGGATTTCCAATGTTGCAGTACAGTATCTACCAGTAATACAAAGAGAATAAAAAAAGCAGCAAAACTACTTTTCAGATAGTGGAAAATCTTGTTTAAAATGCACCAAATGTAAAAACTAATATATGCAAACTAAAGACCAAAACAAATGAATTTAGCTGAATGAAAGTTCCCCACACTCCATATTGAGACTCCCATGGACAGTATATTTTCTCCTTCCACCATTTTACTCCTCCCTTTATTCTTCCTCCATCATTGTTAAACTACACTCTTTATTAATGGGTAAAATTATAAACTTACAAGGTCAGATTCCAATGTAAATATGTTCCATTCATGGAATCTCCGAGCAGATAGCAACAAAAATGATTTCTGACACGGACATAGGTTATTTTTTTCCTTTTTGCATATGGAAAACACTGATAGGGAAGAGAGGGGAGGAGGAACCCAACCAATTAATGGACAATTCAAAGCTCTTTTGACAGAGCTCTTAAATTGGCGATTCCAACCACAAGATACCTGCAAGCCTTCTTAAAAGTAATAAGCTTCTTGAGCCTATTTGATGATTCACAACCTTATAAGCACTTTTAAACAGAGGCACCTCACCATTTCTGAAAAGTTCTTATAAGTACTCACAGTTCCTACATTCTTGAGTTTATTAGCAATCTCAAACACTCTTCAAAGTTCATAAGCACTTCAAGAGCCAATAAGAGCTTAAGGAGTGTATTAAGCAGTATTATATGAAAAAATTAGAGTTCATAAGTACATGTGCAGTCTCTTTGTCGTGCTGAACTATCTAAGTGTAAACACCTGCTAAGAGAACACATAAAAAGCAGACGTGTATCGAGGAGAAGGAAAATATGCATTTCCAAGATAACTAGTAATTAAGTATAAGGATGAGTACCTCATCAAAGCTGCGAGAACCTGGGTTCTCCTTCAACTCATCTTGTAATTTCTGTCAGAAGTAAACATGCTACCCAAGGTCACACAGAAACAAATCTTAAGCAAAGCTATATGTCCATGAACATAAACTAGCATAATCAAACCTGAGCAAGGGTCACAATTTCTCCACGGACAGCATACTCGCAGTTCAAAACCTGAAAAAAGAATAATATTTAATGAGGTCCTTCCAACAATTTTCTGGAAGAATTATTGAATGCTGAAAACTAGAAGTGACACCTTCAACCAAAAAAAAGGAAAAAGAAGATGCTATTACAAAATAAAAGCACAGAAATGATCGAGTATAAAACAAAATAAAAGCAGCAGTGAAAAGGGTGCATTGACCCCCCACACTCCGTCCCACGTGGAAACCAAAACAGCAGTAAATAAAAAGAAAAGGGTGATATCGTGATCAAGCACAGTAATAAACAATCGATACAAATGGATATTCAATAGTAAAACTAAATTAAATAAGAAGCAGCAAAGCAATACAAAAGCTTGAACCCATGATGAAAAACTGCTATAATAGTCAAATTCAAAAAATGATAATGCACTGAAACCCAGTAAAATTACAATTAAGTATTAAAATCCAAAAGCCCAAAAATCCCAGAAAACTGAAATCGGTGATAAAGAAAAAGCGCATCAAAATCAAAAAATAAAACAAAGGATAGATTTACCTTGGGATTGATTGTATCAAGCGTAACAGGAGTGCCCGAATAATCAGAAGCCATTGAAGGATCAACGCTAGTGGTGTTCAAAAAACGAATAGGAATAACAACAGAGGATTGGGATTGAGATGAGGAAAAAAGTGAACAAGTGCGATGCCGCAACGCGCAAGTGGCCAATTTTTTTCTTCTTTGAGAGGTCAGATTTCTTGATAAGTCGGCTACAAATCTCCGCATGGCAAATCTGTGCTGCTTTAGCGAGACACGGTTTTAAAGCCCGTTGCTGTGGGCGATTTTGTTGTTGACTTTCTTGTTGCCCACACAAACACCTAGAGTATTCCTATGTGCTGGATCGATGCTCACGTTCGAGCTAGACTTGGATTTATATAATTTTACTTGCACTAAGGAAAAGCCTTAATGCCCCGGCTCAATGACCGGGGCCAGTTTATGCCCCAGTCATTGAGCCAGGGCATAATTGCCCACTGATTTTTATTTATAGAGGTTCGTTTGATTGCAAATGTGGAAAATTGGTGGAAAGAAAATGAATTTCAGGAAAAGTAATTGTCTAGAAAATGTTTTGCAGAGAATTGTTATAATTTTTCACCAGAAAAATTTTTAAATTTTGTGTTCGTTTGACTTTGTTTTATATGGAAATTGTCCATTGAAATAATAATTATTTCCACAATTGGTTATAAAATTTGTTTCAATTGCCAAAAAGTAAAAAAATAATAATAAAATAATATTTCCTAAAAAATCATTTTTTTAATCAAAATTTAGTTTTCGTTTGACTTTGTTTTACATGAAAATTGTCCATTAAGGTGAAAAAAAAAAAGATTTACAGTTGGTTATGAAATTTGTTTTCATTGCAAAATAAAAAAAAATGGACGTTAGACTGAAAATGGTGGGGAAAGCATTTTCCCTAAATCCAAGGAAAAAATTTTCTAGGCCAAATTTGTGCAATCAAACACTACATTTTGACAAAGTTAGAAATTATTTTCCTTTTTCCTAGGAAAACATGATCCATCAAACAGGGCAGTGTTTTTGGTAAAGAGAGAAAAGTAAGTTAAATTTACTTATTTAAATGGAAAGTATACTCATAAGGAAAAAATGGTTGGTGTGAATTATGGTAAACATATTTCTTCCATCTAGAGTGCTCGGCATTTAATTTTTTTTGAACGAAAACAATTTTATTATGCTCAATCGAAATTTTGGGACGATAAATAGAAGGTTAAAATCCAAATTTATGCACAATTATCTACGTAATTAGAAAAGTCTCAGGCTCGTAGATTTGAATATTCCTTTTTTGTGAAAATTAAAATCGAAAGTTTAATTCAAATCAAAGACAACAATTAATTTTAATCAAATATTTTATGGAATTCACAACCTTTCAACTACATATTTCAACTTCTATCAAAATTCACTAAAAATTTGATTTTATTCCCCCCACCGAAACATGGACTATTAGAGACTTAGCCACAGTTTAGTCCAAAAGTGTCCATTCGACAATGAATTTTGCTAATAGTACATCAAAAGATATATCTAAGGAGTTACACCCCCCTCACATGGGGGTGAGTCCCACTTGTATAAAATATTTTTTTATTTAAGTGGGTCTCACCCCCATGTGAAAGAGGTGTAATCCTTTAGGTACACCGGTAGATACCACTATTAGAACCCTTCAAGAATTGAAGAGCTACATTCCATGTGCAAAGTCAACAATTATATGCTGTAATAAATAAACATATTTGCCTTCAATTATGCAACATTTATTAATATTGATGAATAAATTAATGAACCGATAAGGTTGCATTCATCTGACTTTGAAGAGTAATGTTATTTGACTTTATTGAGACTGCAATCTAAATTTAGATGATATCAACGTGACATTAAATATTAAATAAATGACTCATTTAATTAAATATTTTTTTATTTAAGTGGGTCTCACCCCCATGTGAAGGGAGTGTAATCCTTTAGGTACACCCGTAGATACCACTAGTAGAACCCTTCGAGAAATGAAGAGCTACATTCCATGTGCAAAGTCAACAATTATATGCTTTAATAAATAAACATATTTGCCTTCAATTATGCAACATTTATTAATATTGATGAATAAATTAATGAACCGATAAGGTTGCATTCATCTGACTTTGAAGAGTAATGTTATTTGACTTTATTGGGACTGCAATCTCAATTTAGATGGTATCAACGTGACATTAAATATTAAATAAATGACTCATTTAATTTCACCATTTATTTAGCATATCATCTAGTGTCACTTAGATTAGGATTGCAACCCCGGTGAATTACATATCATTATTCGGCTTTGAAAATAGGATACAATAGGGAAAACTTTGTAAATTTGGCGTACATGGTCCCTAAGTTTCATGGCAAGGGCTTTCTAACTTGTGTGTTTCATGAAAAAGATCAGCATGCCCACATTTTTCCCCCCTTTCGAACAATTTAAGAAGCGTTTGATTTGCTGTTTTCAACTTTGCAAAATATTCAAAACTTGTTTAATCTAATATTTTGGAAAATGTATTTTTGAAAAAAAAATTAAACTTATAATATAAAATTCAAAATACATTTTTGACATTTCGAGTGTTTTCAATAAAAACGTTGAAAACAATCAAAACGTGAAAAAGAAACATTTAAATAAAATTCTGAAAATTAAAGATTCTAAAAAATATATAAAATTCTACAAAAGAATTTAATTTTTTTATAAAAATAAAAATTTTAAAAGAATAAATTCAAAAATTGTAAAAATTAAATACTAAAATTGTAAAACAAAAATTTTGAAAAGATAAATTCTAAAAAATAAAAAGTCTAAATAAAGTATTAAATTCTAAAAATTAAAAATAAAATTCTAATGCTCTAGAAAAATAAAAATAGTCCGAGCTCTTATTGGTTATTTAAATAATATTTTTTAATGAACGCGGATAAAAACTCTTAGTCCGCATCATTAACTTAAGTTTTTATTTCTTATATTTTGCCAATTTTGTTTTGTTATTTATTTTTATAGCGAAAAAAGTTAAGATTAATTAACTTTAAAATGTACATATTATTAATAATATATTAACATAAATTTGGTCTATTTTACAGAATAATCAAATTTCGTGAATTAAATGTTATAAAACAATTTTTCAAATTACACGTGTTTCGATTTTCTATTTTAAGAAAGGTTTTTGAAAATGACAAACCAAATGCGATTTCGTTAATTGACGCGCTACAATGTTATATTTATATGCTAAGTTAAATAATATTATGCAAAGGTTCTGGGCCATTTGTACGTTTTCCAAATGTTCAATTACAATTTTTCATAATTAAACTTAAGATCATGTTAGTCATGTTTAGGTTAGGAACGTCCAAACCAAGAAACAAACGTTAGAGACTATTTGCACACTGAAGGCAAAGATTAGGAACCACTTTGTGCAAAATTCCCAAGAAATTTTTAAGCACTCTTGGCAGAGTGAAATGTGTTTTCACTTGAAAGTTTATTCAATATAGCTATACAGTCACGCAGAATGGTCACATTTCCCTTTTATTAAAATGTGCCATACGTGAAGTTGATGAAATTCTCAAAAAATTAGATTTTATTGTCTATATTGGAAAAGAAGATTATTGTATTTAGATAGGCTAGAAACTCTCATCAACTCTACCATGTTCGTCGAGAATGCTTAAATTGGGTAAAGTATCGAAGTTTTCATTGAACCAATCCAATTGTTACTCATTTCCCTCTATTCTTAAAATTTTTCGAGTTATCATTGAATTTCAAAAGTTTTCGACTAAATATTATCAATAGATTTTTTTAGTTGCGCTAAAAGTTGATAATGTTTGTTCATTATTGCACTTAGTCCTCAAATTATTTTCACAACATTTGATAAGTACGTTTTAAATACTTATTTTACTATCAAAATATGAGCAATTGTTGATTAATATGTTGGAATATAACTTAATTTTATGCAATTCATATTTTGCAGGACNTTTTCGACTAAATATTATCAATAGATTTTTTTAGTTGCGCTAAAAGTTGATAATGTTTGTTCATTATTGCACTTAGTCCTCAAATTATTTTCACAACATTTGATAAGTACGTTTTACATACTTATTTTACTATCAAAATATGAGCAATTGTTGATTAATATGTTGAAATATAGCTTAATTCTATGCAATTCATGTTTTGCAGCACAAGTGATGAATGTATCTGAAATAAGGAGAAACAAGTGAAAAATGACCAGAATGGAAGAAAGTGAAAGTTCAGGGACTAAAGTGAAAATACTCAAAAATTATGTCGGGACTCACGATGAAGGTTCGAGAGTGCTAAGGGTCGATTGGAAGCAATTAGAAGTCAAAAAGATGAAATATAGCTTAATTCTATGCAATTCATGTTTTGCAGCACAAGTGATGAGTGTATCTGAAATAAGGAGAAACAAGTGAAAAATGACCAGAATGGAAGAAAGTGAAAGTTCAGGGACTAAAGTGAAAATACTCAAAAATCATGTCGGGACTCACGATGAAGGTTCGAGAGTGCTAAAAGTCGATTGAAAGCAATTAGAAGTCAAAAAGGAATGGAATATTATCAAAATCAATTTGCAATTCGCACAAGATATATTCCAGATTTTTAGTCAAAGATTGAAACCCATTTTTTGTATAGTAAAAGTCGGAATTGAAAAAGAGCTATTTCTAACAAAGTTGCAGCTCTTCGAGTTATCTTTCTAATGCATGTAAAATAAGTATATAAAACGTACTTATCAAACTCCACCAAACTTGAACTATTGTTTGTCCTCAAAACATGAGCAATTGTTGATTAATATGTTGGAATATAGTTTAATTCTATGCAATTCATGTTTTGCAGGACAGTATGAATGTAACGGAAATAAGGAGAAACAAGTCAAAAATGACCAGAATGGAAGAAAGTGTAAGTTCAGGGATTAAAGTGTAAATACTCAAAAATTATTTCAAGGCTCACGATGAAGGTTCGAGAGTGCTATGGGTCGATTAGAAGCAATTAGAAGTCAAAAAAGAATGAAATATTATCAAAATCAATTTCCAATTCGCACAAGATATATTCCGGATTTTTAGCCGAATATTGTGACCCATTTTTGGCATAATAAAAGTCCGAATTGGAAAATAGCTATTTCTAATAAAGTTTTAGAAATTTGAGTTATCTTTATAAAGAATTTTGAATCATCTAAATCGGATATCGGAAGAAAAAGTTATAACCAAATTACTGACTACTGTGT